GCTTTCTCGCAGCCTCTCTCACCTCAGTAACGACCACTCCAGCCGGCTTAATCTCATCAATAAGCCCAACCCCAGCACCGGCCCATTTCCCAATCATCTTCTTCCCTTCCTCCTCGCTCCACCCCGTCCGCAACCTCTCCCGGCTCTCCTCCACCGTCGCCGTCTGGCCGCCGAGGGCGTGATACTCCCGATGAATATCTCCTACAATCGCCCTCCCATCATACCCTTCCTTCCACAACTTATTATCCACCAATCGATCATGGAACTCCGACTTCCACGTACTCACCCCGCCGTCCTTGGTCCTCACAATAACCTCCTTATGCAACTGCGCGCTCATCGCCTCGTCCGTCGCAACGAACCGCGTGCCCAGCACAACCCCCTCAGCGCCCAGCGCCAACGCCGCAGCCACCCCGCTGCCCTCCACGATCCCGCCCGCCGCGACGACGGCGACGTCCCGGTCGGGAAACTCGGCCGCCAGCATGGCCTTCACCTCGGGCACCAGCGCCACGACGCCGCAGCCCCGCGAAAACTGGTGCCCGCCGGCGTCGACCCCTTGCGCGACGATGACGTCCGCGCCGTCGGCGGCCGCCTCCCGCGCCGCGGCGACGTTGCCGACCTGCACGAAGACTCTCGTTCCCTTGCCGCGGAGGGCGGCGATGATTTCGCCGTGGGGTTTGGTCTCTGGGTGCGGGGCAAAGAGCCAGGCTGCTGCGACGCCGTGGCGGACCAGGATGGGCAGGACGTTGGCCGTGAAGTGACCGGCTGTCTCGTGGGACGTGATGAAGCCCACGCCGAGCGGGAGTCCCACCGCGCCGCTGCCGCCGCTGTTGCCGTCCGCGGCCGGCAGTGAGAGGAGGGTGCGGGCTTGGGTCAGGGCCTTGTCTAGGTCCGTCATCTGGGCCGAGGACTCTGAGAAGTCGAAGCCCGCGGCGATGAAACCTGGTAAGAGCAAGATTTGTCAGTCTGATGTTCTTTTTCATAAGAAGCCATAAGAGACATCTTGGCTAGAATAAGGGAGGGTGAGTTCGCCCTTACCGAAACCACCGGCTTTGTGGACTTCAGTTGCCATGGCGGCGCCGGCGGACCCCAGCATCGGCGCGTTGATGATGGCGGGCGCCTTGACGTGGGGGAACCACGATACCAGTCTCGAGATGGCCATGTCTGGTATTTTGTCTATTTGTTATTTGCTTTTTTGCTCCCTTTTTGTAATCTTTTTGGTTGTTCTAAGTGAGGGGTGTTGTTGACTTTTTTCCCCCGGGACTTTGTGAGACAGCACTATTGGAGAACTTTGTGCCTGTGACGATCGGGCGGGGTCAGCTTGATGTCTTATACACAGAACCTCGGAAGTAAAAAAACCCAAGATGTTCTGACTTCTGAGTGAGATCTTAGTGCATATGTGAGACACGAAAAAGGCATTGGCCTACTTACTACGGCTAACATAGATTGCCGGATCCTCGGAGAGTTTGTCGTCATCCCTCCTTCTCTGCGGCTCTCCTCGGTTCTCCAATTGTGGGAACCGTGCAAACATCTCCGCGGAGGAAAGCGGGGCCGGACGGCCGTGTGTTACCCGGGGTGTTTGTCCTATGCTCGGCCCGTTGCTTGGCATGTGCACCGGAGGACACAAGTTTTGGAGAAGATGAAGGGTGTTGTCCACCTCTTGTGTGGAAAGAAAGGGCATTTCTCTGACAGCACCGAATAAGTCGTATTGCCAAGTACCTTACGTAGAAGCATTGTGAAGGGCAAAGAAGGTTACACGCGCATTTATAACATGAAGATGGTCTCAAACGTGGTAATAGCCCCAAGAGAGTTGTAGTTGGCATTCATAAATAATTGTTGAGTCAAACAGAAACGGCTTGAATGTGCCACATCTTTTCTCCGCAGAACTTCGGGTTTGAAGTAAAGCCTCGTCCTCTATCGGTGAAAGATTTGAATCGAGAAGAAGAGCACCCAGAAGCGCAAGTTGATCGACGATGCGGAATAATCCGACATTGAGAAGCCCGGCGATGACAATTCTGACATCAAGAAGCCCGACACTATCTTTGACTTAACGCTATAAGTCTTAACAAAGGCGCAGGAACTTCTTGTTGCGCTGAGTCCTGGTTCTCTTATTTGATCCGCTCATCTCGTACTTTTATCACCTTGGAACTATAGAACAGGCCATTCAAGGCATCCATGGTTAAACTCCCAATTATATACCGATTCGAACAGTCTTGGCAGTCATATTTAGGGTGGCCTCGATCATGAGCAGGGCTGCAAATCGAGAGCAGTAAGTAAACAAAAGAAAAGATAGACTCCGATGCGTGAAAGAGAAAAGCAGAAAGAAAAGACAAAAAGTGACAAAATGGAGATTCGAACTGGCAAAATGGCAGAATATGGTACTACAACGAGACGCAGGGCGCGGTAGGTTTAGATAATTTCAGTTTGCGATCTCTGGACGAAGACATCGCACGCTAGACCACTTGGCCAGAGTGCAGTGGCTCGCGCACCCCGACAGACAGCTCAACTTTACTCAGCTATGGGTGATTTGTGGAGTGTGTGTTCACCTCTTTGGGCAACCTTGATGACTTCTTCGTGTTTGCCGTGCGCGCTTTCAACAGTGATCGTGTGTGAAGTGTAATATCTGTGCATTATTCGATTGGTATTTCGTATATGTACTACTTACCCCGAAGTTCTCATTTCATATTGTCGTACACCGTTTTCGATCGCTCTAGAATCTCGGGATAATGGCGTCGGGCTTGTTCTCCAGCGCCTCGTCAATCTCCTTCATAATCTCGTCCGTCAACTTCTCTTGCGCACCGATAGCCCGGATGTTCTCAAACACCTGCTCGGGACTACTCGCGCCAATGATGGCAGAGCTGACGTTCTTGTTCTTCAGGACCCAGGCAAGCGCCAGGGTAGCCATCTTGATACCCAGCTTCTCGGCAATGGGCTCGATCTTGTTGGCCTTGTCAACGAGGTCCTGGAATTGCTTCTTGGCATTCTCTCTCTTCCAAAAGTCCTTGATGAATCCAATGTTCTCGGAGCCGAAGCGGGAGTCCTCGGGGATGCCGTTCTTGTACTTTCCGGAAAGGATACCCTGACGCAGAGGGGAGAAGACGGTCAGACCGGTGCCGACTTCGCGGTAGAGGTGGAAGAACTCGTGCTCGACCTTCTTACGGTCAAGCATGCTGTACGAGGGCTGCTCCATGATGGGACCGACAAGGTTCAGCTTGTCGGCGTAGCGCCAGGCCTGGGCGATCTCATCGGCGCTCCATTCGGATGTTCCCCAGTAAAGGGCCTTGCCAGTGTTGATCAGGTGGTTGAAGGCGCGGACGGTCTCCTCCATGGGTGTTTGGCGATCGGGACTAAGTAAAGTCAGTGGTATTCGTAAACGTGTCGAGAGGGAAACTCACCGGTGAGCGTAGACGAGGTCGACATATTTGAGATCGAGGCGCTCAAGGCAAGCGTCCATAGCCTCGATGACGTGCTTGCGGGACAGACCCTTGTTGTTGACAACGTTGTCGCCAAAGGCACCTCCCCAGTAAATCTATTGCGCATTCAGATGTCAGCCTCGGATTCAAGTGTCGCCAGGCCTTTGCGGGGTTGCGCACCTTGGTAGAGATGACGAGGTCATTGCGCTTCCAGCCGTACTTCTTGATGGCTTGACCCATGACTATCACAGAATTAGTCCTCCTTCTTTCGGCGAGGGTGATGTCGACTGCTCGTACCAATCTCGCTCTCGCCGTTGGCGTAGCCCTCAGCCGTATCGAAGAAGTTGACGCCAGAATCGTAGGCAGCCTTCATGCACTTGAAAGTGCCCTCTACGTAGTTTGTCAGTCTCGTTCGCCTTCTGTGACTCGAGGTCTGTTCGTACCGGAGTCGACGTGGCCGCCGTAGGTCAACCCTAGTGGAGAGTCAGTGTCTGTCACAATCTTCCGGAACACAATCAGGGCCACTCACAGCCTCCCAAGCTGATGGCACTAACCTGAAGACCAGAACGGCCCAGGAAGCGGTACTCCATAGGGGGAAGATCTTCGGGCTTGGACATTTTGTAGGTGATTCGAGAGTCGTCGGAGAAAAAGGTGGTGGAAGGTCGCGAAGCAAAGTGGAGGCGAGTGCAAGCTGGCAAGTCATGCGAAGAGCGGCAAGCACCTTACTTATAGTCAGTCCCCCTCGTCCGACCATCTCGTGTTCAAAAAAGAAGGTCCATTGGAGCTCCATGCCCATGGCCCATGTCAAAAGGCCACCGTGGGGCCCAACCTATTCCTCTCATGGTTACAGATACTGCAGCATCCGTTGAATCGCCCATCTCCAGTGGTCAAGCTCATGGAAGCGGGGCAGCCGGTATCAACCCTGCCATCCAAGTCCATGACCCGCGAGTTGTGTCACCGGCGAGCCATGTAGCCAATGGTCCCATTCCACGCTCAGCTGTTGGCGGGGGTACCGGTCCGGTACAGACACAGCTGTCGTGGTTTCACGCTGCCTGATCCTGGAGCTATGTCGGGCGGGATCGAGCTATCCCGAGCTTGTTGCTTCGATAAACAGAATGAGACGCTTGCAAGCCAATGTCCTGATTTTCTTTTTGCTCAGTCTCAAAAGGACCACTTCGGACCGTGTAGCACAGAAAAACACTAAAGATAACCCCCAAATAAATCAATAAAAAAGACATCGAGGTACGGAGTGCGGTAAGATAGCCGAGGAATCTTAACGTCACCCGCGTCGAGGAACTGGAAGCGAAGCTGCGGGTGCTGTGCGCTAAATTACCCCTCCAGCTGCCCCTCCAACACAACCTTACACCATTGCCCCTGCTATAATGCGGGCCCTTCAGGGATGTTTCATATTCTCGCTGCTCCGATTGCCCCGAATTTGCGAGGACCTGGCCAGCTTACTAATTCTTCAACGACGCTCCTCCCATCAAGGTGTCATGAAGCTATCTTTCGTTGCACTCGGCATCTTGGGGTAAGCCTTAAGGTAGATCAGAACACTACTACCGTTTTAAATCCATATAGTGGCATCAACTGATGCCTCGCGCATCTTCGACCGGTGGTCTCAGTCCAACCAACACACTAGACCTCGGGTCGCATCCTAGACTGAGTCGTAACAAACATTTACGAGGTAGCGCCAATCTTGAACATGACTCCCCGCAGTCTCTACGACGGTGGAACGTGTGTAGCAAAGTTCAACAAGCTGACAATTGAATGATTTCTCTAGGAAATGTTCCAATGATGATTCTTTCCGTGCTTATGGTGACCCGTGCTAGGCTATGATTAACTAGTCGCAAACCAGGCCGCTATCTTTTCACAACGAGATAGGTTGACGATCACTCTAGGCTGTAGCATTTTCAAGTCTCTCGTAGAGCACCCCAGGTTATCTCGCAAAACTCTGAACCGGTCTTCCCATCACATAAGAGAGAGCTTGACTCAGCTACCACAAGGCAGCGTACTGAGATAAGGCAGTGACAACAGTACGAGTGATCCATATTTAGACGGTGATCAGCACATGGTTCAGGCAATTGGTTCAACCGAATTGTAAAGCAAATGATTCTCAGGTACGCTGTTTCCGTCTTGCTTAGATCATGCTAATAATCGAGCCCAAGACCTACTTAAGGATAAGCTTTTAGGCTTCATATTGATACCTACATTGATCTGAGCATTTCGGGCCATGGTATCTTCGTATTGAGGGCAACGGCCCCAGAACCATAGCTCTCAAGCCTGATAGAAAGCGATCGAAGTCTTGACAAGAGTTTGACATAGACAATGGTGCCTGGAGTTCTCGCAAAGAGCGCCTCACTTGCTATTCAAGGGTGGCTTTACAACATGGTCGAAAGAATCCTTTCGATTGAAGTATACCTCGAAGTTTTCCGGCTCCTTTCAAATAAGTAGTTGTGCTGCAAGTCAGGTGATGCCTCATGCTCAGGCTAGAATAGTGGCCAGTCTGTTGTGTAGGTGCCCTCAAGTGAGTTCAACTTAGCTACGGGCATTCACGACTACAAGAAACCCGCATCGTGAGAGCATAGGATTGGTGGTCCTCGACGACATAAGCGGAGATCGTGGCTTCCTCTCCATGAGCTGAACCTGAATCTTTTTCCACAAACCTGTTCCTTTTCTCTTCTTCTTTTTTTCTTTTCACCATCTCACCACCAGAGTTGGCTTCATTCAACTACGATCAGCTTTCAACACAACCACTTCATTTCCGCTTTACAGTACGCATGAAGATCAAGATCAATCACTGAGATACATATCGTAAGTCAAGTTCCATCTCTTTTCGATGTTGGATTCATCTTGCTGTTTCTCTGTCCGAGCAAGTATTCGCGATTTGGATCCATGCCGACTTCCTGGCAAGTTTTGGCTGTCCGAGCAGCTTCAGACAGCGAGGCTCTACATCGGTCAATTCTCGCGGTTTTGGACTACGGAAATTCTGAGAATCACTTTTCCAGAAAAGGCAGTATGGGCCTCGCGCTCCTTCTGCTTGTTGCCTAGTCGCTCAGTTGTTCCTTCCTTCTCCTTCCATACTGTCACGTTTTCTCTGGAGGGTTTTCCACTCATGTCAATACTTCTTTTTTTTTCTTCTGAAAAATTCAGATTATTGCTTTACATTACTCTACAATCCTGCCTGTTCCCTTCTGTTTCCACTCTCCCTGCGCTTCGTCTAGAAGTGTCTCTTTTGATTGACTTGTTGGGCCAGTCCAGACTCTGTCAATCGATTCTCTTCAAGATTCAGCAAACCAGCAATTCTTTCTCGAGCGATTACAACAAGATGTCTGATCCTTGGGGCACCACTGATGATGCTTGGGGCACTGGCAATACTTCCGCTGGCAATGGCATCCCCAACGATGACCCCTGGAGCAACCCCAAGGGCGGTGATGGCGGTGATGGCGGTGACGGCGGTGACGGCGGCGACGGAGGCGACCGTGCCTGCTTCAACTGCGGCCAGACTGGGTGAGTGATTGCTTCATATTTGACCGGCACCCGAAGTTCCGCACGCTGACACACATGATGATGTAGTCACAGCAAGGCTGATTGCACCGAGCCTCGCAAGGCTTTCGATGGCACTTGCAACGCCTGCGGTGAGCAGGGCCACACTCGCCGCGATTGTCCCTCCGCTCCTGCCATGACCTGCCGCACCTGCGGCGAGGAGGGTCACATGCGCAAGGAGTGCCCCAACAAGGGTCCTGATCTTTGCCGCAACTGTTGTGAGGAGGGTATGTTGTTCACTATCTTGCAATATCGAGACTTGGGACTAATAGTTACTTTATCAGGCCACGCGACCGTTGATTGCAAGAGCCGTCGCAAGATCGACTTCACGAATGTTGCGGATGTCGATGCTGACAAGGCCTGGGAGGAGATCCACGAGGCTATCCAGGAGCGCGACGGCGTTGAAGCCAAGGAGTCCATCCAGAAGTACCTCAAGCACTACCCTGAGATGGGATATGTCGAGCTGGAGAATGCTTTCCGCGCCCAGGAGATGAACATCTACCTCATCGCCACAGAGCGTGTCTTGGCTCCCACCCACACCAATATGGATCTCCAGGGTAACTTGGACAAGAAGTACACTGTCCAGTACCGCTTTTCTGCGCAGCCTGATCGCCAGCGCGAGAAGGCTAACTGGCCTGCCTCCCCCGAGGAGAACCTGGCCCGCCTTGAAGATGCTGGAGAGCCCGTTTCACGTCTTATGCAGAAGTGCAACAACTGTAACGAGCTTGGCCACAACTCCAAGGAGTGCCCTCAAGACCCCATGGAGAAGGCCCGCGTGACCATCGCCTGCTACAACTGCGGCGAAGAGGGTCATCGTGTTCGCGATTGTGAGTCTGCCTGCTTCACCCGATGGTTTGCATCACTGACCAACTGATCCAGGTCCTACTCCTCGCATTGACAAGTTCGCTTGCAAGAACTGCGGGTAAGCAGCCAAGTTCGCGGCCGTTCTTGATGCGAAATGACTGACATATTCTATAGCCAGTCTGGTCACAAGATCTCCGATTGCACTGAGCCTCGCAAGGCTGGCGATGACGTGGAGTGCAACAAGTGCCACGAGAGTAAGAAGGCTTCCTCCATTCAGCTTCCTTCAGAGACAAAAGCTAATCATTTGCAGTGGGCCACTTCTCTCGAGACTGCCCTCAGGGTGGTGGCGGTGGTCGTGCATGCCACAACTGCGGCCAGGAGGGCCACGTCTCCCGGGAGTGTCCTGAGCCTCGCAAGATCAAGTGCCGCAACTGCGATGAGGAGGGTCATCTCTCCAAGGATTGCGAGAAGCCCGTTGACAGTAAGTTGCCCAACTAGCCTCGTTGACTGCATGACCCTGACACAATGTTCCTTAACAGTCACCCGCATCAAGTGCAACAACTGCGGCGAGATGGGTCACAAGAGTTTCAAGTGCCCCAACCCTTCCAAGGAGGACATTGATGACTTCGGCGCCTCCAACAACGCCCCCGGCAAGGCCGATACTTGTGACGCTTGGGGTACCGGCGGTGGCTCTACCGAGGACACTGGCGCTAGCGGTTGGTAGATGCGTCCCTAGAAACGCATTTGCAAAGGGATTGGTATGGTGATTCTCTATTTGGCGTTGAGGTCACGGCATTTCGTCGCTGTCACGGCAGACGACAAGGTTTTCGATGGAAGGAATGGTTGATAAATTTCTCTCTTGCTTCGTGATTGATGATTGGTACAGTCTCTCGGTAGATGGGGATACATAGAACCAACGCAATGTTCATGAGCACAACCACATCAATCTCGTGTGAATGTGAATGTCTCCATGGGCAAGGCTGGTCGGATCTGATTGAGCAGGTTCTTCATGACTGGCATCAGTGCCTCCCAGTACCGAAGGTTGTCATCTATTTCGCGTTCCAGATTCACATCAAAGTATTGACGTCCGAATGAAGATGTAATTACCGAAAGCTGAGGAACAGATGATCAGAGGATGATACAATGACTTTGTGATACTAGAAGACTAATCGATAAAGCAAGATAGTCATCGGCATTACTCGACATGAAAATGTACCCATGTCCAACAACTCTGTCCCTCTTCTCGCTCCGAGTTTCTCTTTCTCTCCTCTCCTCTGTGCTGCGCTGCTCTGCTCTTGGTGTCTTTTCCGTCGTGTCTTCTTTCACCCGCGTGCGTGTTTAGCTCGCCAACCCTTCCTGTCTTCCCCAGAGTTCCATGCCCCGTTCTTGGTGTTTTGGGGGGGGGGGGGAGGGGGGAAGCCCTATGCGTGTCCGGATATCTTCGTGTACGCCCGGAACGCCGCCCATATGACAAGTTGAAAAGAAAAAAAAACCCTCCGTATGGGTCGCTGCCTCCTCTCTCTGATGTATCGCTATGCTTGCTAGCAACGAATGTATGCCCGCTCCCTTTCTTCAGGGGACCAAACCCCTACTACCTGGTCACAGTGTACCAACCCAACCCGTTTTCGTTCCCAAAAGAGAATGTTGACACATGCCCAAGCCTAGCCTGAGCAGCCCTACTTCGGTGCCTCGAAGACCGAGCAGGGTCATTACGAATACGTACACAAAAGGGAATGTGAAAAGATCAAAAACAAAAACCAACGCCCTGACGCCAACTTTTGTATGTCGCTTCCAATTGAAGGGAAAAGGGGGAATCCTATGCGAACATGTGCTGTCAGGCGTCTCAAAACCGAGTATTTCTCTGCCTGCTGCTGAAAAGTCATTAAACGTTAATTATATCCCCTTCTCCGATAGGGGTTGTTCGGATGAGGGCGCAGCCGCGGCTCCATTCCCAACCGGGTGGATCGCATCCCCTTTCTCGTTCATCTCCGGCGCAACTGCTGGCCCACTGCCGTTAGCAGCTGCTGGCTTTGCCGTCGTAGGTTTCTCTGGTGTCGTTTTCCTTGACAAGCTCGCTGTTTCGGGCTCTTCCGGAATCGTCGCAAACTTCTTGAGGACCTGCTTGAGCGCAGGCCGTCTAATGGGCTTACTCAGGAACTCGTCCATGCCACTCTCCATGCATTCTTTGACGTTGCTTTCTTCTGAGAAGGCGGTCAATGCCACGATAGGAGCTTTGTAACCCATCTTGCGGATGAGTTTTGTCGATTGCAGGCCATCGAGATTGGGCATCTGAATGTCCATAAAGATTACGTCGAATCCTTGGTTTTTATCCATATTCGCCTTGACTAGGTCGTACGCTTCCTGGCCGTCCTTGGCGATGGTGACATCGTAGACGTCCTCAAGCTTCAACATTTTGCTGACAACCTCAATATTTGTCGAATTGTCGTCCGCAACGAGCACTCGTAGCTTTCCTTCCTTATTGGCCTTCGTAGCCATTGCCCGATCGATGGCTGCCATTTGCTGCTGTTTTGTGTTCCGCTTGGCTTTAGGCGCTGGGTTCGACGCGAAGAAAGGCTGGCTGAGGCCGACTAGTCTTGGTTGTTGATCAAGTAGGTTCTTTGCAGTTGTTTCTCCGGCTGGCTTGATAGGTGGGCTGACGGGGGCCCCGCCGGAGTTGCGCTTCGCGTTTTGAACACTGTCGATGCCTTCGATGGCATCGACACTTGGAGGCCGAGACTTGATGCTGCTAGAAGCGGTGCTGGAGGCCCTGTAAGATCTCGTCAGTACATGAGCCGCATTGCTTCACAATCATCTAGACATACCTGTCCTTGACATATTTCAAGGGAATTTGCATAGTGAACGTCGTGCCAACCCCGACAGTGCTTTTCAGCGAAATAGATCCACCCATCAGACTTGCAAGTTGGTGGCAGATACTCAATCCCAGGCCTGTTCCGCCAAACTTCTTGCTCAACCCTAGGTCGCCTTGAACAAAGGGTTCAAAGACCTTCTGCTGCATGTGTTCAGCAATACCCGGGCCAGTGTCTTCCACTTCGAACTCGAATATAAAGGCCTTTGCACCAGGTGGTGGCGGCGTAGGAGATCGCTCCCGAACCTGAATGTGAGGTGTTGACTTGGGCTCCATCGGGTTAATGCTTAAAGCAGTGCCCTTGACGGGTTCAGAAGTCGAGCCTCCCCTAGAGCTCACAGATGGATTCGAGCTGTTGTTCGTTCGGTGTCGGCCTCTGCCCTGTCGTCTAGATTCCCTCGAGAACGATGACGACCGACTGCCATCATTTGCTGGTGGAGTTTCCACCTCGCCGATACACTTGATGCGGACATCAACCCGGCCGCCTGCTGGCGTAAACTTGACACTGTTGCTGACTAGGTTGATGATGACCTGGAGAATGCGATGCTGGTCACCCCATAGACACATATCCTTCAGTCTACCGGTTCCATGCGGTCCAAGAGCCGGTAGTCTGTTGTCGGTGCTGGTTCTTTCCGGGCTACTGCTCAGTTCGATCGCTTCAGAGCCGAGGAAGTTAACAGTCAAGGTAATTCGGCCTTCTTTGACTTGTTTGTCAAAGATGGTCAAGATTTGAGATCTAATGTCGGCAAGGCGGAATTCCTTCTCTTCCAGATTCAGTTGTTGCCCAATCTGGTTCTTGGAAAAGCTGAGGAGATCCTCGAGTAAATGGAGTAGCAAGTCGCCTAAAAGTGGTTAGCAAGGTACAGAGCGACGAGCAAGCCAGATCGCATTTACCTGACTTGTAAAGTGTCTTGAGCGACTGCTTTATCCTGAGAATATCGCTCTCCTCCATACACACGGCACACATGCCAAGGATACCATTAAGGGGTGTCTTCAGTTCGTGTGAAATGTTTGCGATGAAGAGCGTCTTGCTTTCGTTGGCGGCTTCGGCAGCTTTCTTGCTGATTTCAAGCTCACGGGTCCGTTCCAAGACTTTTTGATCCAGGGAAAGGTACTGTTTGACCAGCTCGTCACTCATATCGTTAAAGGTCTCCGTCAGCTCGGTCAATTCGTCGGTGATGAAATGTTTCCGGTCAGTGACCTTGCCGGGGATTTTGAAAATGCGTCGGGTCGAATCGCGATCGTGCTCTGAGGCGGGTTTCTCCTTGGGCTTGTACCCTACCAGCTTGAAGATACTGGTGATGATGCCATCCTTTTTAGAACGTTGTGTTCGTGATGAAATTCCACCCGATCCAGGAGTTTCGTCGCCGTCGAATTCGGAATAATATCCATCCTCATATCCCGGTGGCTGGATCGATTTCTCCGTCGCCGACTTGAGTCTCCTGATGGGCATCACGCTAAGATGCGCGCAAGGAAAGATGAGGATTATGATGAGGCCTGCGGTGCCGAAAACGCATCCCAGAATAATATTCCGCAATGTCTCAATAGGAGCGTCGGCCTCTGACTTGGCTTGTTCCACGACCACAGTCCAGTTAACGAGTGCGGTGTTGGTTCTTGCAAAACCCACAGCCACCGGAAGACCCTGTTCGTTGTTCGTAGAAAGCATCGAGCTTGAGTTGTTCGGTGCCGCGATCTGCTTGCTAAAGGAGGCGAGAACTGCCGGATAATCCTTCATTGGGAAAGGGTCGTCGTCCTTGCCCGCTGACCAGCTTCTCTCATCGTGCCGGTCACCCTGCCCAGATAGAGGGTTGGGTGGAAGGACAAAGTTCACCGGCACGTTATTGAGTGCGTCAGTAGGTGGTTTGTAGGTACTGTTGCTGACCGCATTACTGGAATTGAACCTGTTCGACTTCTCAGTAGGCCCGACGAGCAGCACCAGTCCAGTATCCCCTAAACCCTCACGGGAATTGCGGATGCTGATAAGAGAATTCGCCGTGGCGACAAGCGTCATGTACCCTAAAATGAATTCCTGCTGTTGGTTGTAGCGAATCGGCACGGTTATGGAGATGAGGGCAGTCGTCTCATTGAGAATCAAAGGGCCAAGTAGCAGGCCACCATTTGTGGAAATCCTAACTCCGTCGAACGCGTTGGCTGCATAAGCCCGAGTATTGTTCCTATACTGATTCTGACGGCCTAGATCTTCGTAGGTAATGTTCGGGTAGAGGGCTGGCGGGTACCCCTCGGCGGTATCGGAAAGGAAAATCTGGGAGCCATTGGCGCCAGGATATGGCAAAGCGATTTCAGGGACCTTTTCTCCAGTAACGTTGAGTAGGCCATAGCCGTTGCCAGTGATGTTCCGCGAATAGATTCTCCCTTGCAATAGACCCGTGAGACCGCCGACGCTGAGCGCACTGTTGAGATCGCCTTTGGCTTGAGCCCAGTTTCCGTCTGTGGTGTTTCCATCGTAGAAGGTGAACAAGGAATTCTGTATCAGAATTCGGGAAGAAATGGTGATGATGCTTGTCTGAACGAGTTCGAGCTCGGCAGAAATGCGTGAGGCCTTGAGCGAAGCGGTAAGGGCGAGTTCGCGCCCTTCGACCTGGGTGACAAATTGATTGACGTAGATCCAGACGGGGACGGAGAGGATCATCAAAGCAACGAGAACGGCAATCACCACAAGGAAGGCGAGCTGTTCTCGAATGGCGACCCTGACGCCCATTTTGAACAGACTATAACGAGGAGTCTGGCAGTGTCTGGGCGGCCTTCATCGTCTGCTATGGTGATTCTCGGGATCCTACTTTCGATGCGTCGCGGTGGTGTTGTCGTGGGACAGACTTGGCCGGCGGCAAGTCTTCCTCGAAGAGTTGCTTGGCACGCGGTCGCCCAGGAGGAAAGGTCGCGGCGGTTGACTGGGTATCCGCAATTTCCCCAAAGATGCGTTTCGTTTTGCTTTTCGTCGGCAGCAGCAGGGATTTGCGGTGACTTGCAAACGGTACTCGGGGGGGTTGATAGGCGAGAATGGCTGTGGGATTGAGGGGAGCCAAAATGCGCCGACAGTCGAAATGAGCGTGGAGGACAGAACAAAATTTGGATTGGAAGATTCGTCACAAGAGAGAATAGTTTGGCCTACAGACGAGGGATTGTCTTGGTGTCGGTTGTAGCGGAGGGTGACTGAGTGGAATGGAATGGGCTGAGAAGGGCGAGCAGAAAGAAGACCGGCCGCTGAGGGTGGAGCCGCGGAAGGAGCTGGGATGTCGAGCTGCTAGGATCAGGTTCAGGGCAGGTACGAAGTAGGTTGGAGTCGCAGTGGAGTGCCCTGTTGTGTATTCAGAGACTGAGGTGCAGGTGCAAATTGGGGGAGTACTTACGAGGTACCTCGCCTGGGTTTAGCGCAATAGAGCAGAGAGGAAAGATACCTACCTATTTGCTGTCAGCTAGGAAGGTAAGCTAAAGGTAGGTATTTCTCAGCAGGGTTGACACCAAAAAGGTACCTTTCCTTGACTGCGACCCAACGGGATATGTCCACGAAGAGGATGGACGAAAAGCGCTTCGCGAAATTACCAAGACACCACACAGCATCCAAAACGAAACGAGACATTTACAAGCCCGGCTGCGTGGATGCAAAGAGGAAGAAGCTCTGCGGATGGACGGGAAAGTTGCAACGGGCGGGCCTGAGGACGGGATCTGTCTGTCATCTGTGTAACGATGAGACTGATGATGATGAAGGACGAGGGAGGGCTGAAGGGCAACTTTCATAGGGGAGACCACCTCACAGGGAGCCACTAACGAAAGCACCTCGAGGGAGCTATCGTGTCGTGCTACGGTACTTAGCTGGCTGTCAGTCCGAGGCCACCCAGTTGCCATACTCGCGTCTTGTTGGAGACGAGACTGTCGCGCAGAGACAGCTGAAGGCGAGCCGCAAAAGCGCAGAAGCTACCCGTATTCTGGGTATCCTAGGTTAGCGCGGAACATCACACACGTGTGGAAGACGCTATCTCGGTAGTGTCTCTCAAGGGCGAAGCTTGGGGAATAACGGGCTTGCTAGGCCATCCAACTGCTGGCAACTCTCGTCGTTGGTGCGGGCGGTGGGAGAGAGTTTGATGGAAACATGGGCCGATTTTGCACTTCTCCTGAGTCTTGGTAGCGCTGGTGGTGAATACGTGGGTGGCAACGGGCAACACGGCACTATTTCTGCGCCACGGCTGCTATTTGGGGCTACAGATGGCGAGCATGGCTCTTGCGCTGAGAGAAATGTTTACTGGGATCTATTGTAGGGCCTCTTTTGTAATCTGTCTCGTTGATTCAGCATCGTTCATCTTGGCTAAGACTGTTGGATCAAGTGATTGCTGAAGAACCTGGAAGACCGTGTCGTTTATCGGTGACACGGAAGCAAGATAAGTGGAAAAGAGAGCTTGAAGTACAAAAATGCCGTGGAATGGTGCACAGCAGACTCGAAGCAAAAAAGCACCTCATTCCGCGTGCTTCCCCGCGAGATCGTCAAATCGCCCAGGCATGGCACCCGAATATGGGGAGAAGAAAAGTGGTGGCCCAGCTTGCGTACGTCTGCACATAAGCACATAACATGGGGAGTGGAGGCTTGGCTGCGGTAGCTGTTCGTACGGGATACAAGTATAAGTGGTGCCTTAGGTAAGTGAACTTGGGTGAGGTAGCTCGGAAAGGTAAGGTGGCTGTTTGGATTAGGCGAGACGGGAATGAAATACATTGAGTGTTTTGGAGGAAAGTGCACCTGGGTGAGTTGTAGACAGTCGAGGAAGGTGAAAGATCTCGGGAAGGAGGAGTGCAAGTCTCTCGCAAGTACCTTCTCAGTGCTTCCGCAGGTGAAATGTCGTGAGTGTCTCCCGCATCGATCAACGATGGACCACGGCCAGGAAGTCAATTCGTCACTTCCGACTGGGGACCCCCCTCGTCCAATCCCCGCTCCCCTGTCCACCTTGGGCCATGGGTGCATGGGTGCCTCTCTCTTCCCAAGTCCCGACCGGTAAAGTCGAGCGGTCCACGGACAGTCTAGGCCCTGACTATGCCATTCCCAGCTTTTGGCATTTGCAACATTTTCGCCCATTCACCCATTTCTGCCCATGGGCATGCATGATGGAGCACACCAGGGCACCTCAAGGCGCAAGCAATGGAGCGAGCAACACGGGGCAACACGCGCACCCGGGGGAACAATGCCTGACTGGATGCTTCTCTTCTTCTTTTCTTCTGCCCCCCCTTCGCCCCCATTGCCCCCATTGCTCCGGGGGGCTGCCTCTCATCGCCGATTCACGCTGACATGCGCAATGGAACAACAACACACTCACATCACTCTCAAACAACGGAGGGACACGAGGGATATTCATCGGATCCCATCCGTCCAACCATTCTGCCCAGCATACGGGTACTGCCAGCTTGTCAATCGCCACTTTCTACATCTACTCCGTACCACCTACCGATATCCGTATACAACGTGGTAACTACGAATACTCCATACGGAGACAGCACTGAGGACAGAACATTTCTGGATGCAGCCAAGGCAATGCCCTTTCCTTCCCAGCCGTGCCAGCCTGCAGTGCGCACCTCATCCGGGCATTCCCAGCGATCTCCTTCCGGCGGGCAATCGAGGTTGAGTTGCTCCAACAAAAGGGACGGATACAGCTAAATACAGTACAGAGCAGCTAGGTATTCACTCCCTCCACATCCTTTCCATTCTTCTGTATGGACTCACGGAGTATGCATCTGTTCCAACAGGTACCAAGCTCTTCTCTTCCTCCAAATCCCACGCTGAAGAAATACCGTCTGCTTCTGATCTCTAATCTCGCCGCCCCCTTCCCCCCTACCCCTGCACATTACCCTTCCCATCCCCGTCCAAGTTCCAACGTTCCTCATTCCCTGGCAAATCTGGCTCCCTTGACCATCGCAACACGAGCTAGCTTTCCCACCTCCAGTGCTGCCCTAGGAATCGCCGCTGATCCCCCCCCCCCGGCCAGATGCTAGAAATGTCCCGGAGATGAGGCTACGCTGTGGGATAAGCTGCTTCCGCAACGCCTCGGATGAAAGCGGCCCTCGTGGCTTTAATGAGCTTACGGAAACCCCTCTAACCCTAAACCATTGAACTCGTCCGCCAGCTTGCTTCTGCTTTTCTTTGAGCTCGCGTCAGCTCATCTGCGCTGCCACTTCTAGGCCAGTGGATTCATAAAGCCCGGGCCGCTGGATGCCTGCTGCTGGTAGCTGCCGCAGTGCCGCCCATCTTGGAAATCACGGCCATCGTGAAGACACGTCCACATCGACATCGCCATAACCGCCACAGCGGCACTGTCCTGCGGACAAGTAACAGACAGGCTCTCATCGTCTGTCTCACGACCATATTATCCACCCACAGAGTCCAGACTGCCCTACCCGTCGGCTGACCCTACCACGCCGCACCAGTGTTATGCTTCGCTACAAGGACATGGTCTGAAAGCAGCAGCAGAACAGCGAGATCTCACATCTCAATCCCAGCCCGCCACCTACCACCCACCACGCGCTGTCCCGTTGTTTACTCCACCTCTGCGCCCAGCCAGCGAAAGCACAGCTGGGTTGTTCCCAGTCTGCCCGCCGGGCGCTACTCTCTCACCGAACGCGTTCAACCAGTCTCGCCGAGCCACGGAGCTGCTCTCTTGATTCGCCGTCTCCGCACCTCGGTCCCGTCTCTCGGCTTTGTTTATCCATCCGCCCCATCCGCGATTCACGGTGTTGAAACATTTTCCGATGGAGACGATCACGAGCTCCATCTGCAGCATACGCACGAATCGAATGCAGGGAAGGTTTGTTTGAAATGTTGTTATCTTTTTGAAAAATTGACAGTGAAAGAAAAGTAGTGTATCGTCAAGTCATTACAAAAGTCATAATGCCTCCTGTCGTCGCCGCCGGCCTATCCAGGCCAATATCCGGCATGTTTTCCCGCCATATCCTTCCGACCAACCAAGTTCCGTCCGTACAAGAGGATACACAGTGCTGTGTTTGTGTTCCCGACTTACATAACAGATATACAGAATCGTGTGTCTGGGGCATACATGATCATGATCTCGTAAACATTAGCGGCACCAGCGCCGACTGGCTCGACATGGACCGATCGTCTGGTAGCACGCTCACGAAGCTCCTTCCAAAGAGCCCTTCTCTCAACCGCATCTGCAGTCCGCAGCTGTCCTTGTTCGCTACTGGTGCTGGCGAACCCTTGCGGTGGTTAAACTCCCTCGAGAGCTTCATCAGCACCGCCGCCTTAGCCTTGCGGAGCGCGCTGACCCGCATCGCCGCGTCCTCGGCCAGCAAGCGGTGCGCCTCCTCTTGTTCAATGTTGCGTTGCACCGAAGAGATGCCATCGTTGGGGTCTGAAAGCCGACTAGCGTTCGGGTCGTACACAGCCGGCTGGAGCAGAACCGGGTGCGGGGACATGTCCTGAATCGGCGCCGTGATAATGGGCACCGGTGTCGAAGGGCGGAAGACGTCGTCCTCTTCTGGGACGGATGGTTGCTCCCTGTGATGTTTGTGTTTGCGGCTTCTGTGGTGCCGCGATGGGCTCTCCTTTGAGCTGCTACTCTCCTTGTTGTTGTTCTTGTCGCCGTCGTCCTTGCGGTGCTTTCTGCGCCGGTGGACACGCTTCTTCTTTAGTACTGTGCTGAAGGAGGTGCTGGCCTCCTTCGCGGCCGCGAGGTCTGAAGCCAGATCCTCGTCGAGGCCGTCATATGGATCGAATAGTTCTTCGTCAACGTATAATTCGCTGCCGAGGTCAAAGTCGAGTAGTTCTCGAGTGGCAGCGGCCGCCGCGGCGGACGGCGATGGTAGGTCATCATCGTGGTATGGCTCCGGGTCCGAGTGCAAGCTACCGGCCTCGGAGTTGCTCCGCGAGTGCTGGGACCAGATTTCGCTGCCGCTGCCGTGGCCATGGCCGGATGACGACGACGATGATGATGGGTGGTTCTTCTCCATGAGCGGCGCGAGGGCCTCGTCCCAGTCGCCGCCGTTGATGAGCACGACATTGTCAAAGTCGAACTCCTTTACTGTCTTTTGGTGCGCGTCGACCAGGTCGGAGAGCTGGGCGGCCGTCATGGTGGCGTTGCGGACCTGCATGTACCGCAGGCGGGGGAAGTGCATCGGCTTCCGGGCCGGCGCCGGCGGCAAGGGCGACATGGGCGACGTCACTTCCGCGAAGAGCTTCTTGCTGTGTTTGGGCGGCGCGAAAAGGGGGTCCGCGGAGAGGGCGATGGGGCAAGGGCCCTTGGGGCCGAGCCAGGTGAAGTGAAGCTTCTCAAGGGTGCCGGAAAACTGGCGGATGTAGTCGTCCATGATCTTGAGGTGGTCCAGTCCCGGCGAGGGCCCGTAAAAGTCCCAGGCCTCGACGGAGATGTTGAGCTTGCGGATCTGCTTCCAGCGGCGGCCCGCGGAGGGAACGGCGCCGAAGCCGGGGACGTGGCGGAGGTAGTTGAAGGAGGAGGGGTGCATGCCGGACAGGGAGAGCTTCTCGAGGCGTTCGAGAGGCGCGCGCTCGACGGCGATGCGGAGGGACATGATGGCGTAGTCGACAATGTCGCGGCGGTAGCGCTCCTGTGGGTCCTGGCCCGGGCAGCGGATGGTGAGGTGGCGGATGTTTGTGAGGAAGCGCAGGGCGTTGATGAAGCTGGGGACGTTTGTGGCGGCGTGGAAGAGGGGCGGGTACTGCTGCGTGAGGATCTCGCCGAGCTCCGTGTTTGCGTATTTCGGCCTGGCGAGGACGGAGGCCATGCTCGTGTGCGGGGTGTAGAGGAAGGAGATCTCGCGGCCGGTGGTCGGGTGCACCAGGGGCGGGAGAAAGGTCGCGTCCGTGTGGGCGAAGTGGAAGTGGAGGTGTTCGATGTGGTGGCCTACGCGGGCGAGGGCCTGGATGCGGGATTGCTTGGTAAAGGTGTTGGCGGAGAATGTGACGCGGACGCGCTTGAAGAGGGGTTTCGTGGCGATGTTGCAGCAGGCTGGACTTGCGAGGCGGAGGGCGGCGATGTCGCGTTTTGGGAGGAGGTCGAGGACTGCGGCGCCTAGGTGGGCGTGTTCCTTCTGCCAGAGGCAGTAGAACGGGGTCTGGTGGGCGGCCATTGTCTTCTCATGTCGTTGTGGACTCCAGGCTGGGGGTGTTGGTTACTCGACAAGTCGATATTGGTGGATGGTGTTGGTAGTCGTGATGATGGTTGTGGGATATACCAAAGCAAACGGAGTCCGGACTTTGGTTCAACACCGAAAGTATTTGTATGGTGGGTATCAGGTAAGGTGAGGTAGGTAGGTCGAGCAGTACGATTCTTTTCGAGAGACTGGATGATGGGGAGTATATCAAGGCTCGGTTTTCTTTCTTTCTTCTCTTTTCTTTTCTTTTTCTGAAACAGATTCCCTTTCTTCAAATGGGCGAATGAGGTTATTCACAACCTCTTTTCTCACAGTAATACCAGTTTAGGATGATACCTCGGTATATAAGCCAAGGTTATATGTATGAGCTGTCGTCGTCGTCTTATGAAACAAGTGAAGACGGGAGGATATCAAGATTGGAAACAATGAAAGATAGAGGAAAAGCAGGTCTCGAAAATCAGGCCAAACGAAATCTGGGTGGTGGGAGGGTGAGGCAAATATACTCTCTCCCTCTTCTCACTTACATGGGGGGACTGATTGCGAGAGCACCACACACACTATTTTCAGTCTTTTTTTGCTGGATATCCCATCGAGCAAGGTTTGAAAATGTACTCCATACACCTAAGCTACAGCTACACCTACACATGCGAAAAAAAAAAAGATTGAATGTAAACCGGCGGAGCCAGCCTCCTCCCCTCGCTCAAAAAAAAAACCCACCCCTTGGCCGCATCGTCCCGTAGCTCCTCGGTGGGAACGACTGGCGGGTGAGTCACCTCTGTCGAGACCTGCATATGCAAGACTAGTGTAGCCTCTCTTTTTTTTTACCAGTTCCCATGGAGGTTCCACGCGGTTGTTGTGTACGCAGTATGGAGACGTTGTGGACTTACCAGAAAGAGAGAGACATGGACCCCGGGCGCGCGGGATGGGAGACACGTCCCTACTATGGTAAAGATGGGGAATTCGAGAGAAGGTGTGGGCGTGGATGCTGGTTGTGGTTGTGGATTCGGGGGACGTGTGCTAAGCGTGTAAAGCTCGCGCCACACCACCACCACCACCAACACCACCACACACACCCGATGCGGTTCAAGGTTTTGTAGGAAGAGTGTCCAGAAATGGCGAGTTGGCGACGTGTTGCGGTCGTGTGATTGGTTGTGCGTTTGTCACTCTTCGCGCGGGACGACCACGTTAGTCCAAGGTAGCAGGATGAGAGATGGAGACGAGACGAATATGCCATCTGGGCTTGGTACCTCTAGTAAGAAAAGAGTCCAAAGAGGCCATGAGGGGAAGGGAGTTGCATTAGCTCTGCAGAGAGATGCAGAAGCGCAAGCAGAGCAGAAGCCCTCTCTCTCCTGAGTTCTGAGGGTATCCCCCGACCGCCAAGGACTTTGTTTCAAGTCGTGCCAGTGGTTGAGAGCGTCCCGAGGATGAGACTGCCTTGTGTCTATCTGGTGCATGGCAGGATACCTGCTGGTTCTCTTCGTGGTCTTTTTGATCTGTGTGGCTTTCTGGGCCTGTCCTGTCCGGTGTTACTATCGTACCCATGACTGGATATTCCCATTCCCGGTTCCCAGTCGCCGGCCCCATCGTCCGAGCCAGCCCCGGGCGCAGCAGCAGGAGCTTGTATGTCATGGGTGGTCTTTTCTTTCGTTTCTCTGCAAAAGCCAAATAGGTAAAGGCTAGGTACCTTAAGGTATTGTGGGAGAAGCGCTATCGATAAGAACTCTATCCCACGCCAAAACTCTAAGTCTATCTGGATCTCACGGGCCATGTCTCCACTCTCTGAGGTCAAAAACTCCACCGGCACGTCAAACGTCCGTCAACATGACACCCCATTGGTCCCAAACCCTGGAGGCTGGTCATGCAGCCGACGACAAGCCTCGCCATGATTCGCCAGAGACGCGAAAGGTACGCGTCTGTGCCTGGGGAGGTGGACGGGAGCTACGGGAGCGCGTCTATCGTCGACGACCAGTCGTTTCGTGCTGGGTGTTATAAGTCTAAGCGCTGACCACACACTATCTTACCTTTACACTGCCTGTGTGACAGTGTCTGTGGCATTTGACAGAGGCAGATCCCCGCCCGTCTGATGTTTCCACTTTGACTGACTGAACGACCTTACGGTTTCGTGGATTCGCTTCCCAGTATCTTGTCTGCCGGGTGGATCTTTTGATCATCATGGGCATGGTGGAGGATGTGTTCGAGAGTCCGGCGTTTCCTTCGAGCCCTCTTACTCAATATTTTCGGCTTCCCCTCCGCGTGGCGATATATCTATCCTAGCCTGGTAGCGTGGTAGTCTGAGGAGGGAGCCCGCTAGCATGGAAGATGCATCAACTTCCAAAGGAACGAAGGGTCCCCTCTTGCCGTGGTTCGTCCACAGTCTCGATCTTGAGGCTTGGTGTTGAAGCCTTCCCGCTCTCGCTTTCGCCCTCGAAAGATGGGAGAACCGACCTCTGGTGACCTGATCAGCATTGTGGCATAATGATCTGAGTCTTGTTTGAAACCGTCGACCAGATGCTACCACCGCCTTCGCCCGTGAAAGACAACATTAATCACCACTCGGCTGGCAACCTACCTTACAGTGTACACCACGCCACACCATCCATCCAACAGCCAGCCGTGCCAGCCATACCTCCATTTTCGCGAAACATAGGGCGACGACGTGCGAGGCTAGGGTTGTGGCCAAAAACCCCTCGTCTATCCCATGTAAGTCTCCCCTTGGCAAATGTACGGTTTTCCGGACATGGACGCACGAACGGCAAAGTTCCAGGTCAGCAAGACTGCAAGAGAAGCCAGAAGCATAGGCATAGGCAAAGGCATAGGCAAGGCAGGTTCAAGGGTGTTGACTTGCCGCGCATAGTCCACTTCCGCTGCTGCAGTACGTCTGCGGATACAGTACCTAGCGTCGTCGTCCGCTCCTACCCTCGACCACACCCCCATGCATGCCACGGCCGATGGATGAGAGTTATGACTCTTCTCTCTCTCAACGATCCACTGCATTCTGCATACGTTCGCCCATTGACCAGTGAGGTCCGTCGCGCAAATGCTCTCGTCCGCGAATCAACCGCGGATCAGACGGGAAACCGTCGCCAGCTTGAAATCTGACCAATCACCTTAGTCTTTTATCCTAGGAATAACTGAAAGAACCGAACGAATCCCACGCGGTGAGAGACGTCGTCCAAAAGGTTCGTCTGTCCACCCGGCGACCCATGCGAAACCCCCACAATTTGTTTGCGCATTTGCGGGTTCGGACATCAACCGGCGCATCCCATCCTTTCCTTCTCCCAGACGCTTCCCACGAAACTCCAATTCCAGGTTGGAGGTTGACGTAGCCCGGCCACCCGGCCGGCCTTCTCGTGGCTCATGGCTCATGCAGTATCCAACGACTCCACAGCAATTCGTCCACAGGCCGGCAAGGCACTCTTGAATTGGCTCGGCTGTCTCCAGATTGAAGCACATAAGCATTTCCCCAAATCGACCTCTTTACCATAGAACAAAATGGGGCTGACATAACTACAGGTCGAAATACCACCACCACTACCACCACCCACAACAAAGATACAGACCACAGACTGCAGGCCACAACTCAAGCTCAAGAACTCGGGGCACCTTACTAATCACGTAGAGTCTCTTCGAAACAGCTCCCTCATGATCCCAAGCCCGCGTCAACGGTCTGGTCTGAGCAACAGCGCAAGGGTCCGGGTCCCCTTCCTGCATCTCTCAGACTCCCGCCACAAAATGTCACTGACCTGCATACAATCCGTCCCATGATCTCTCTTGTCAACTTCAAGTCTAAGTCTAAGTCTACATGTATGCATACTCCGTACATCAACCTAACTTAGTACTTTAGTCAACATACTCCCCCCAAAACGGACAACACAGCACAGCACAGCACAGCACAGCAAAACAAACCGCCCTGAAAAGCTTCGACTCTTCTCAACGCATCGTTTGTTCTTTCCCCTTTGCAACTCCCATGCATCGCAGCACTTTGCATCACACCGTCCGTCACAGTCACAGATAACCCTTGGAGACTACCATCACCCATCACCCATCACCCATAATTAAAGGCAACCTCAGTACTCCGTCCTTACGTACACCGACAACCACAACCCATGAGACCATAAAAAATCAACCCTGGTTGATCGTCACCTGGTGTCCACATCACGACTGCATCGTCCCCATTATCAAAAAAACCACACCCTCCCTTCGCTACCGGTCTCATTACCATTGAACCGCACACCCAGTACCAATCCCATATGCCATGCCGGCCGACAAGCCACAAGCTTTTTTTCTCTCAACTCAAGAACTTTCAAAACTCCCCATGTCTATCCGTACTACATCCATCATCAGACCAGGGGTACAGCCAAGCCCAGCGGTAAAAGAGAGACAGGGACAGCAGAGACCCTTGGAGCCACGTCATGCACATCTCCTAGTCATTCCCGCCGTCCCGGAGCATCGCAAAACGAGTCCATCGACGCCGGTGAACCAAACACATATCCCACAACTTTGCGACAGAACTCTTCTCTTCCCAAAACCCATGAGGGCCTGTGGTCCACGGTGTCCATCGTCAACACACCCCGGTCTCACATTTCCAAGACCTTAGACCCAAGACCCAAGACTCGAGAGCCCAAATACCCAAATGACAAGGCCATCGTCATCAAAAACCCACAACCCACGTTTTCCTCCCAAGACCAATAACCCCTACCCAACATCCCCGGTCTCCCAACTCCTAGTCTTATATCCACTATGGATATCCACCAAACCACTGCATCAAAAAATACCCATGCATCACGAACCAAACATTCAAACAAAAGGAAGAAGAAAAAAATCATATCCACAACTTTAACCCAGCCCCCAGACACTGACCGCACCGCAAGTTCGCAACGACGCACTTACACACCACACACGCACACACCACACACACCGACAAATCGTCAAAAACCCTCGTCCGTCCACACAACAAGTCCACGACAAATTTTTCATATTGAAGCCCAAGTGTTTCCCAAGGGTGCCAAAACCAAGGCAATGCCCACGACGTGGTCGACATTGTGACTAACACACCAAGCCTAAGCGCCGTCCATGTTCAACCAAGTTACCGACATACATCAAAACGAACAAAATAGACACGCCCCCGGGGAACAAGAAGACCAAGATATCCTCTTTTTCCCCTTTTTCTTCTTTCACACCCCCCCAAGCCGCGCGGAAACTGCCCTATCGCTTTCCTCTAACCCTTGACTATTTCCATCCCATGCCGAAACAACTTGCGGTAAAGAGCAGGTTAGTATCGTCTAGACGACACGGCCTCTTCACCGTCAATGATTCAATCTTCCTCCCCCAGCCACGAAAGTGGCCAGCCAGGGATGATTTCCCAATGTCGTGGCATTTCACAATGAGTCAAAAATCGACATGATCCCTTGTTAGTTTCCCAGAACGAGACTTCTCGGTCTCGGCTACTCAAAATCCATGTCTTCAAGTGATGAAAAAAAATTCAAAATCCAGATGTAAAATGCATCCACAGGCCAGTCAAACACACCAGGTCCGATGACGAAAGTTTATGAAACGCAAAATAGTAGTAATTCTAACCCACCAGCTTTCTGTGCGAATAACCGGGGGGTTCATTAAGAAAACTACTGATCCCGAGTCCTCTCCAAAACACCTACTGTCTCCCGCACCCGGCTTCTGGTCAACCTAATGACCCTGATCCACTTCCGAGATAGGGAATACTGTTGTGTGCAGGAAATCAGTCCACGTCAACTTGCGCATGCGCAACGATTGGCCCGACGCAACTCCATCTTCCCGCTTGCAAAATGTAAAGCTAACCACCACCCCCTTCCGCCCTCGCCGCGCAGTTTCGTCCATAGTCGTTCACCCAACCATAAAGGCAAGGCTGTCGTCGCGCATTTCCGTCGCGCATCGTCACGCTGCTGTCTGAGTCTCTTTCCCTCCGATTTCGCTTCGAGGTTTTTTTGTCGCAACTCGTACACTTTTGTCGTACATGATGTTCCTCGCCTCTTCCCGTGACTTCGCACCACCTTTGCTCGCGGTCGCGCGACACACCCATCCATCCCGTCCAGCGTACTGTACGCCCCTTTTCCAACGGCGTCGCGCGCGAGCCAATCATTCCAAACCCTCATCCTTGCTTCCCACCGCGTTTGTTCTTGCCCCTTCGGCGCGATGCCGCCGAGCCCCCACCGTTCTGCTGCTGCTGCGCGGCTCCCGCATTGGAGTTTCCGGAATGGTTCCTTGTCCTCTGCTTCTTCGGCGGATTCGGTCCTGCTCGCCCGTGTTGCTGCGACTGCGGTGCTGGGGGCTTGGGGGGCAAACCGTTCGCCGGCTGGCGCGACTGGTTGTTGTGGCTTCTAGACATTCGCGAGTACGAGCCCTGTGGTGGCGGACCTGGAGGTGGAGGTCCTGGAGGGAGGGGAGGCTGCTGCGCTGACCACCCATTTCGCTGCTGGCCACCGCGCCCGTTTGACTGCGTCTGCGGTGGTGGTCCAAAGTTGCCGGCGTTGATCTGGAGGTTGGTCGACATCTGGATGTTGCCGAGTGGAGCACGCGGCTTCACCTTCTGACTGATGAACTCGCCCTCCTCCGACCCGTCGCTATCGGGGTAGAAGATGTGGTTTCGCTTGGCTGCAGAGCCCTTGATCGAGAGAGGGGCGAACTTGGGGTTCTGGGGCTGACTAGCGAAGTCGCTGATCGGGCCATCGGTTGCGTTCTTGTCGACGTAGAGGTGTCTGTTCTTGAGCGTCCACGTTTCGCTTTTCGGTCTGTCACGGTTCAGATGACAATCGGAAGAGTAGTGGCTCTCGTTTCCGCAAAAGCCGCAGAAGGCGGGGAACGGCTTAACCTTCTTGATCATCCTCGGAGGCTTGTATGACCGCCAGACTCTCTCGCACTCGTTCTCCTGATGAGCCTGGGAGCCACATAGGGCACACTCCATACCCTCCTCATCCAGATGAATAAGCTTCTCCTTGCACTGGGTCTTGCCGTGGCCGAGCTGGCGACACTTAGTGCACCTCTCGCGTGTAGGACAGTTCCACGAAAAGTGGTCGGTATGTTCGCAGAACTTGCAACGAGTGTTGGGGCAAGCCATCGAGGTGTGTCCGAGA